TGTGGTGTTTCTTTTTAAAATATGGCTGGGTGTGCGCTTAGGTGCTTAAAGCCAAGAACTCAGGGTGGAAAAACCACTGAGAAACAGATCTGTCCGTTCCCACTCCTCATCCAGCTTGCATGCGCAACAGGGATGTTCAGAGGCCCATCCAGAAATCACTGGATATCCTCTGGTGGCTATGTATTATGTATCCAACTTGTCATACAATGGGGTGAGTATGACAGGAGAATGGCTGCCAGATGTGGTTGTGTGACCAAGCCCATTTAATCCATACAGGAAGCGCAACTATATCAGGCCAAACTGTCCATCTGACCGCAGCCTGAGCCAAGCTGCCCTGAGTTACAAGGTCTGCTTGGTTCAAACCTGGGCCTTGGCAAAGGGAACAAGAGGGCTAGGCTTTCTATCTATTGAAATCATCATCACCAAGACCCAGGCCTGAACTCAGTGGACCCTGCAGCAGTGCCTATGCTGCAGGGGCCACTTGGCTCAGCTAGGTCATGGTTGCCAGCCTCTCTCCAGGGCAGCAGCTCACTAGACACTTTCCTGGTAAGTGAAAGGACCAGTCCACTCCTGGTACCTGTTCAGATATGTTTGCATTTGGCTAGCAATTTCACAAATACACATTTGGAAAAACAGGTACCTATATTTCATTGGATGAAACTGACGGTTGCTATTCGAATGTATTCATTGTTAAAATCCTCTTTCATGTCTTTCACATACTGTTTTCTGTGTTACACACAAGGCCATGAAATTCCTTATATCAACTGCATTTTCCTTTTATCAACAACACCATCTCTTCTCCTGAATGGAAATGTGCTTTTTGCAAGAACCTATCTTTCACATATTTACTTTGTTGCAAAAGGGTATTTCTTGATTAGTATTCATGATTTATTATCTTAATTCTAAATGCATTAAAACCTTGCTTCTAATAAAAGTTGAAATCTTATGTACGTTTTGTACAATATTGCAGACTTGCATCATTCTTTGTAGAAAAATTCAGCCATGTTGGTCTGAAGCAGCAGAACAAAGTTTGAGTCCAGTGACACCTGTTTGGGACTAGGAGGCACTTTTCTGAGGTGGTTCTAGTCGTACCTCAAGGATGGGTTTCAGGGTCCTTCAGAGTTCCCCAAGGTTTCATCTTGTCCCCAGTGCCGGTATTGACCTTTAAAGCCCTGTATGGCTGCGGTGGCTCAAGTGGTTAAAACGCTGAACTGCAGGCTGTGGAAGGTCGGTAGTTCAGCAGTTCGAGACCCGGGTGCCGCATGACAGAGTGAGCTCCCGTCTCTAATTCCAGTTCCTGCCAGCCTAGCAGTTCGAAAGCAAGAAATTGCAAGTAGATAAATAGGTACCACTTCGGTGGGAAGGTAACAGCGTTCTGTGCGCCTTGGTGTTTAGTTATGCCGGCCACATGACCACGGAAATGTCTTCGGACAGCGCTGGCTCTTTGGTTTTGAAACGGAGATGAGCACCGCAACCCTAGAGTCGGACTCGACTGGCTTTCGAGCAAGGAACCTTTACCTTTTACTATGGCTTGTGGCCAGCAAAACAGGCAGATTAAATTGGACTTTATCCCTCAGATCACCACTATAATACGACAATCTCAGTCATTTACTTGAAGCACTAAAAAGGAGATATGGACATGACTTGTGAAGCCATTGTTTCGCATTTCCATGTAATTATCCAAAGGGAAAGTTATGTAAATGAGATATTCAGACTTCCAGTGTTGATGTAGGTCACATGTGTGAGTTCTCCTTTTAGGGAGAGAAAAGTAGAAGACTAACACATGCATTTAACATCTGAAGCCATTCTGTATGATCTATTTTTCTCCATCAAAAACATTTAAAGACAAAGGATGGAGCGTGGCTGAGTAGAAACTTATACTTGATATCTGCAATATATTACCTCCTGATACTCTGAGCAGGTCTTTAATTATGTTCAGTCAGATTGAACTTCTGTAAAGAAACAGCAGAGAGGAAATCTTTCACTCTCCTTAGGTATTTCTTATACTGTAGACTGACAGAACTTTAGTCCTTTCTTGATATGTTTAGTATCTAAAGAATAAAACTGTAAATTAGATTGTGAATGCAGATATAGATAAATGATTACTTCATGGTATTGGTGCTACTTTTATATCTCAGGCAGATAAAGAAATGCTAAGGGGATTATCTGTAAACAATGAAACTCCCTTCTGAATATATGATATAAACATGATAATCTTATTTTAATGACAAGAATAACATTAGACGTAAAACAAAGCAAGAGAGCGTTGCAGCATTTTGTCATAAAAGTTCATTTGAGTTCTGCACATAGAATTCATTCAGATTTTAAAGTACCAAATTTAGAAGTAAATGCATGAATACAGTAAGGGATTTAATACATATGCACAGTAGCAGCCATCCTAAACAAATCGTGATGTATATGTTTTGGTAAGCGCAAGAACACAATAGTAGTTTGTCCTTTAATGGCCTGCTAGAAGTTCAGGTCAGGTTTAAATTGTTGATGAATTGCTATCTAATTCAGCATAACTGAATATTAAAAAAGAAATGTGGTAGACATTGCAGGTAACTTCCTGATAATGACATTCAGGTACACACTAATGAACTAATCAATTTTTTTTTCATTCATTGCAGATGTTTAAAAGTAGCCATATATCGATTAACAGCTATTTTGCCTCACTAAAAGTGTATGTGATTTCAAGATAATAGCTGATTGATGTGATTGTTCATCTCTTGTTTGATGATCTGTCAAACACTGAAAAGACAAATTTTAAAGGAATTACTAATAAATTTAAAGTAGAACAGAAATCAATTAATGTCTTATAAACTACACCCACTGAGATAAGCATTCCAACTACAAATTTCATTATTTCCTCCAGTCCATTTTATGTTGAATACTGTTTTATTGCCAAATACCTGACAGCCAGATTGGAAACAATCCACAACTGTCAAAGTATAACAGCTCCGACTGTTTGAATTCCCTACATTGTGATGTTTCTCATGAAAATTTAATGATGAGTATGTATTCAGAGTGATTCAGTGCATAAGAGGGCTGGATAGGATTTAATTACCCTTATTAAAAATAAGGAACGGAGGTTCTTTACATGCTCCATCCTATTAGAATGCAAGATAGATTATCTTTGTTATATGCTTGTTTATAAGGGAAAAAGGGGGCTTCATGGTGTCTTTGAGCCAACAAGGAAGGGAAAGGACATGCAAATGCATTAAGAACACTTTTTAAACATGGAAAAAGTAGGTTTCTTTAGTCAGACTATAGCAAATGGCCTAAAGCAGTCAGCTCTTGACACTTCCTGCTCATTGGCAGAGATAAAACAAATAGTATTAACAACTGCAGATCATTACTACAGCAGTGTGTTAGGCACTATTTACATGCATTCATACTGTCAGTGATTAAGTAGCCTTGGGGAGATGGAAGTCACTAGCTAAAACTAAGATTTGTCAGGTATTCAAGGATATCCCACATGTCCCCCCCCCCATGTTAATAGTTCATACAGTCTGAGGACAAAGCAAGTAATGTGTTTGACACTGAACAATTTGTAGTCAAATATTTTTATTCTTAAATGATTGCATGTCAAAACTAGACAAGTCAGATGTTTAGTAACAAAACATATATGGTGGTGGTGGAAAGTGTCTTCATGTCACAGCTGACTTATGGCGGCCCCTTAGGCTTTTCAAGGGATGGTTTGCCATTGCCTGCCTCCACATCATGTCCCTGGTGTTCCTTGATGGCCTACTATCCAAATACTATAGGGTTGCCAGGTGCCTTCCTCCTGCCAGTGGGGAATTTTGGAGGGGCATTCTGGGGTGGGCAGAGAATGTTAAGGATGCACTGATGTCACTTCCGGAAGTGACATCATCGCATTGATGACACTAGGGCGACACTATTTTTTGAGCTAAACTCTATGGTAAAAACGACTACACAAACCATAGAGTTTTGCCCAAAAAGTAGAGTGTCACCCCCCAAAATTGCTGATGTGATGATGTCACTTCTGGAAGTGACATAAGTACATCGGCAACATTGTGTGGGGACATCTGTTTGGGGGCGGGGTTTCCCCCACCAGCCAGCTGGGAACTGGCAAACCTAAAATACTAACCATGAGCCACATGGACCTTCAACAAACTGCCAAACTGAAGAATCACTTGAGAGTGATCCATTTGGAAGAAAAATGCAATTGGCACACAAGAGGCTTTTAAAAACTGCTAAGATGACAACCAGTGCATAGAGAATCACAAAAAAATAAAAAAACACATGAATTTGCAAGAGAGGACATGAAATCAGTGTTACTTTGCAGCTGTGCTAGGGCATTGGCAAAAAAAGCAAAAAAAAAACAAACCCATCACCAAACCCCTTTGTCACCACCCACAACCACATCAGGAGTGAAGCCCCCACCTCAGTTAGAGAAAGTGTGATTCTTTTGATGCATATGAAGAAAAAAAATATCAAGATTTCTGATGACCAAAAATCCGGAGGAAAAAGAGCAGTGCAAAACACAAAACAGAATATGAATCTACACTTCACAACGTGACTGAAAATCTGGAGCAACTTGTGCATGTGTAGTAGGCCTATCTCTTTTGTCTGACAGCAGAGTTGTGCCAGCATATTAATGTAGTTATTAGTATCCCTCTGGTATGGGTGTATCTTCAAGACAATACCAGTGGAGGGGACTGAGTCACCATGCTTCATTGACATCATGTTGCATATCCTGTTAGCATAGCACAATCTCATACGATTGCAGCTATAAGAGATGATGATTTGTTTTAATATATACTAAGGAACGGGAGTTCTAGAAGGTTCAGCCTTTAATCCTAGTATGGTTTCATTCAGTGCTAATATGTGACATTGGCATTCACATGTTTCTATTATGGTGCTGTATAGGTCAAAGAAGTCTTTGTCCAGAATGTTGTCTTTCATTTGATTTACAACATCCAGGTACTAATTTTAGGCTCACCTGTGAAAACACCGTTAGATTAAATGTGTTAGAAATGGGTCTCATAGAGAAGGTACGTAGCTGTAATAGGAGCTATTTTGTAAAGCTGGTACCTCTTTTTCCTTTTCAGAGGATCAAATTCCTCGTGGTTTCCCCACCATTGATATGGGCCCGCAGTTAAAGGTGGTTGAACGCACTCGAACAGCCACGATGTTATGTGCAGCCAGTGGCAATCCTGATCCTGAAATAACTTGGTTCAAAGATTTTTTACCTGTGGACACAAGCAACAACAATGGGCGCATCAAACAATTGCGATCAGGTAAGGTCTTGTTACTGTTTGCACTAATGCTCAGAATTATTCTTTCTTTCCCCCCCTGTTCTTTTAAAATTTAATTTAACTTTATAGGTAATGATTCTTCTTCCTCTTCTCTTTTTTTTTAATTTGTTGAACGTGTTGTCCATGTCTGTGTTGTTGTCATAGTCTGTTTCCAAAGTCTGTTTCTCTTGTGTGCATCTTGCAGCTTCTGTTTATTCCACATTGCTCACTGCTGTGACTGTAGACTTGATATTTTTCTTTTCTTTACTGCTTTTTCGGCAGTATTTGACAGAATCATTTTCTCCTCTATCCCTATCTATCTTTATTTTTATTATTATTATTTTTAAACAAATTTATTTCAACATTGGACTTCATTCAGAACATGCAAGGAGTACCAATGGTTATATCCATACAATATCAAACTTTCATTTTCTGATGCTCACAATATTTATAAAAATTGTGTTTTATGCCACCTTTTCAACATTTTGAACCCACCAAAGATTAGCCAGTTTGGACACATTTGCTTTCTTCTTACTAGTACATGAAACACAGCATTTCCCCCCCTCTTATTTGTACTGTCTTTAACCAAAGCCAAAACAAACAAACAAAATCTTTTGAGTAGCCTATGAAAGGAGAGATTTTTACTGATTTTCTGATGCATTTAGCCACAGTAGTCTGCAGCTGTGCTAAAGCTTCCTGAATATTATAGCGTCTGGATCTACAGAAGCCTGCCATTCATGTAGAGTCCAGCTTTTGCCGCTCTTTCTCTTTGCCCTCTTCACTTCCTTGAGGAGTCCTGTCACCCCACCTACTTTATGCTCTCTGCAGATTCATAATAAGATAACTTTAAATTTACTAAGTTGAAACCTTATACCCATATAAAAGATAATAGAAGGGGGCGGGATATATAATAAGCAGTTTATGTTAGCAATGGTAGCAGTTTACTGTAGAAATCAGTTGTATAATCCACCTGTCTTCCCAGACCTCTAAGCTTTTTGACCTGTCCTGTGATGTTAAGCCGTCTTGTTAACTGACTTCTTTGCTTGTTGTCAGCAGAATTGTATAGATTAAACTTCTGTTAATGTAAAATTAGAAGTAATTTTCACATGTGACATAGATTACGTAGTATATAAAGCTTTAACTTGAAAACGTTTGTGCCAAATTATAAGGAATATAATAATATTTTTATGCTGTCTTTCTTCTCTCCGTATTTAAATCTCCAGAATCTATTGGTAAGTGCTTAGTTCTGAAGCGCACTTCACCCCCACTAATTTCCATATGCAGAATACTATGATTATGGTATTATAATTATGATTATTACTCTTAAAATGCATGGCATGCATTTTACTAACAGTCAGTGTAGGCACCGGACCTCTGTAGTGGCACACACACTGCTCCACAGAAATGTTGTCGTATCAGTCTTAGAAACACTTGGTTAGAAGGAACAATACACATAGATGTAGCGCAATAAATGACAAGATTTCAACAAGTGTTTATTACCAGATAGCCTTCAGTGTATCCTTTTTTCTCTGTTTCTTGCTCTTCATATGTATATATATATATATCCACACACACACCACAAACACGTGTATATATATATATCTGTCTATATATATATATATCTCCATATATATCTATATATCTTTCTCTCACTTAAATAGAGTATCCAGTATCTCTTCCTAAACTATGTATTAAATGTAGTACTGTAAAGGTTTTCTTTAAATATTTTAATCCTATACAATATATTTTAACCCTCTCTAACCAAAAATCGTATGAATGAAAGTTCTGCCCTGCCCCCCAAAACGTGATGGCCTTTGCCCATTTTGGTATACTGTTATTATGTATTTATAATATAATAATTGTACCTAAAAATATATTTCTGTTTTTAACAATATAGAAATTCAAGTTTCTTTTTAAGACCTTATTTAATTCTGTAATTCTAATTTGATTCTTCTTCCAAAGCCCTAGCCTCCTTCTTCTCGTACTAATGCTTCTTCTTTCTAATCTTATTTGCATTCATATTATCCACCCAGGTGGTACACCAATAAGAGGTAAGAGTGCTGAACTAACGTTCACAGAATGATCTTATTCTTTCTGTCCTTCCATCCCTATCATTATTGTCCTTTTTTAAAAATAAAAGCATTATAGAAATGTCTATCATCTTTAGTTCTTCCTTTTGTCCTATTTAGTTACAATCAGTGACTGTCATCTTGTGATTTTTTTCCCACCATCCTTTTTAATTTCCATTTAAAAAATTGTGTTTGATCATTCCTCCCCCCACAAAAAAACCCCCCAATTTGTTACTTTGTGATATGCTTTAAAGAAAGCATATCCAGGTCTTCAGGCCACAACCCAGTCACAGCGTACCATTTGTCCCTCTTTTTCTTTTTTCTTCTTCTTTTTTACCTTTTTTCTTTCTTTTTTCTTTCTTTTTTTTTTGGTCCAACTGGAGCAAAAAAAAAAAGATCATTTTTTTCTTCCTTAGCTGTTCTTGTTTTGGACCAAGCCAAGATGGTCTGGAGAACAGTTGCAGACATGCAGAAGAGACAACATGGAATATCTTCTTTTTAACTTTGTCTTTCAAAAGGTTTTCTTTTTTTTCTTTTTGTTCAATTATATTTTTCTTTTAACGTCATAAAGTAAAAAAGTAAACAAACAAACAAACACATTCTTCCCCCTAACAAATTACAGCAACACTATATTTTTTTCTTGGATTCACCCTTCTCTGGATTTTTGGATCCTTCTGATCTTCAGGCCTTGAAAATGGAAAGCTTGATGACTAAGTACTCTTGGTGGTATGTGGTATTGCTGGTTTTTAATAATTTTATTAAAATAGTTCATGTCTTTTGTAATTCTTGTTTTGTATTTTTCTTGGGTTTTGTGACACCACACTGCTAATCCCACTCGTGGATTTTGATGGGTGTCTTGGGGGGGCCATCCTGAGGTCCTCAGCAGTGGTTGGTTGCTTCTTCCTTGTTGGCTTGGCCATGCTTTTTAACTTTTTTTTTTTGCCTTCTAATTCAACCCCTCTTGTTTTTCAGCAAATGCACTAAAATACTATGAATTGTGGCAAATGTCTTTCTTTTTCTTACCAATCTGCATGTCTTTAAGGGAGCTTTGTTTCTTTAAAAATATTTTGATGACTATAAATGACTAATTCAGTTTCTTTTTTTCCACTTCAAGCAGCTTTTTTTGTACTTGCTGCACATTTTTGGCCTTCTTCAGCGGAAGACTTTCTTGAAACCCATCTTCTCACTATTTTTTTTTGCTGAGCACCACCTTTTGTATTCCCTTTGTTGCTCAAATAAATCAAATTAATTTAACCAACTAAATGGTGACATCCCAATGACCTAATATCCTTTGTTTTATTTTAAAGCCACAATTCCTTGAAGCAGTCTCACCCATCTTCATTTTAACAGTAGAAGAAATAGTACTGTGCTAGAGAATTGTTTGCTGAATGCAGATTGTTTACCTGTACTAGATTGATGGTGTGAAAAAAATAATCTCTTTGTTTTTTTCATTACATCATTTTTTGTCTGTGCCACCTTAGCAAGAAAATGACCCGGCGTTGAGTGGACCTTCGCATACAGGGCTTTTCATTATTATTAAGCAGTGTGTAGTTAAGAGCTTGAAACCCTTCTTTGATCGTCTCTTTGGCAATATATTTTATATCCATACAGGTGCCCTCCAAATCGAACTGAGTGAAGAATCTGACCAAGGCAAATATGAGTGTGTTGCAACCAACAGTGCGGGTACCCGCTATTCTGCCCCTGCCAATCTATATGTCAGAGGTAGGAATGACATAACCCTGGTATCCACTCTTCATTCAGGTTCAAGGGGTATAAAGATACTCTTGGGATCTATGCCATAACTACAGTACTAGACAAAGTGTCAAGGTTAAAAATAACAATAAGGGGAAAATGTATTAAAAGCTTAGAGGAATTAATGGGAGAAATGATATGAATAAAGGCACTTTTTCAGTCCAAACTTGCCCCTGTGACTTAAGGTTTGTAAGTATACCTACATTTTTTATTTCCTAACTTCTACTTTTCCTGCATTGATTATTGACCTGAATGTTGCATTTTATTTTGGGGGGGTTTCAGTTTTCCTTTCTTTGTTTTGTTTGGTTTAAATTTCTAATGTGATTGCTTGCTGTGCAACTAATTTGGCTCTAATTAAAACTCAGGGTGTTGAGGTGTGTAGCCACATGACCTTTGCTGCTAAGTTGCAAAGGAAAAGTTCTAAGTGTGTAATTCTCTGTGAAGAAGACAATGGTGTAGCCTTCTTTTTTCTGTTTCTTTAAGCACAGTTTTATACAGCCGTATACTTCTTCTAAATTGAAGCCTTATCAGCAAAATGTAGTCCCAGGCACTGCTGGAATGAATTAGCTGTTCTTTATTCAAAAGAGAGCAGAAGTAGAATTACTATTTTTTCCCTGATAGTTATGAATTAGAAGGATAAATTCCAATGAGTGTATTCTTGGAAAGTAACAGGCATGATCGATTTTTTAAAAAGATTTTGGGAAGTGTTCCTTTTGGTTTTATCTCTTCTATGCAATGCTTCCTCTTTGCCACAGTTTTCAGTGCCTGTCACTTAACAAACATTCTGTACATGATGTCTAATATATACACAAATAAACTTAGCTGCTGGCAATGTGTAGGAGCAGATTGGCAGGGCAGCAAAAAACCAAAATATTTTAAACTCATTCAACTTTCACCTCATTACTTTAGCGTGGGGACGTTATACACAACTTGGAAAAAAATCTGGTTTAATTTTTTTTCTAGCTAGGCAAGGCTCAAAGGTTATTATGGCCTCCTTAGCCATTTGATCCTTTTCCTTTCAAAATACTGTATTGCATGAGGCATGTTTATTATCCGCAGGGGATTCTTTTCCAATGCGATGCTAGTTTCTAACATCTTGATAGCTAAAATAAATTGCTTAATGGTCAGAGCTGAGGTAGGGAAGGTTTGATTAGGGCAAGTGAAAGATGTTCAAGTAGCAGTTGAAAGCCTTGATATGGCCTTTTTACTCTCTCTGTGTTTCCCTTGTTTTTCTCCTTTCCTCATTTCATTGTGTTCTGCATCAAACCCCCTACATCCCTCAGAGCTGCGAGAAGGTTGGTGTGTTTTTTACTTTTTTACCCACCTTACAAAACTATTAATTAAACCAATAACAAAGAATACAAATGAAATGAATGTAGCTGCATTGTGGCCTTTTTTAATTTTTAAGTTAATGTTATGTTTAAGCTGGGAATGCCCTGGTCATGGCTTTTTAGTGCGTGCTGGTATCTACTTGTTGTGCATGGTAAGAGAGGGGAGATAGCCTGTATGCATGACAAACCTGTAACACTTTGAGGTCCTGTAAATTTGGTCAGTGTTCCTGCTTTTTCTGATTTCATTTCCCTTTAATTTTGTGTTTGTACTGATGCCTGCTGGTTCAGGAATGACTTCCTACAATTGTTCCTTCAAGCAGCCCAAGCATGAAGACTAAAACTTTCCTATGTCTTACTTAATTACTTATTTATAAAATGATTATGTTTGGTACTACAAATTATGCATTGCCTGCCACTTGCTTTGTCTGACCTCTATCAAATGGCTGCAAAAGGCATGTCTTGCTCTTTGTTGCCCCTATGCCCGTCCCATTCACTCACGAGGCCATCACGGTAAGCCCCTCTAGAATCCATAGACATTTTCAGGCATTCAGGTCAATCCCGTGGAAAGGTTCAAACTCATAAAATGTTTGTCTTGTACTCTCCAGTGAGAGCTCATCACACACAAGCTCTGGTGAAACTAAATTCCCATTGATTCCAATGCTGCTTAAGTCTCATTACCTTTCTATGAACTGCAGTCATAGCCATGCATTTATTTTGCTAAAACAGAGAATACACAATGAACTTGTTTACAAGGTCCACACAATTAAAATACAATATTCTTTGTCCATTGAAAGGCTCAAGTCCAAATCTACCTGCCCCTGTTGCCTCTGTAACTGCCTTCATACATGCACACACAGAGAGATTACTGGAAGCAGGAACACTGATCTGTTATTGCCTGGTAATTTTCTCAGTGTTGTGTTTGCTTAAATATTAACTACTCTGTTAATGCAATGCCCTGCTGCTGTGTGTTTTAGATATACTGTCCCTCATTTTGTATACACAGAGCTGCCTTTAATAGTATTATAAATCTTAGCAGTTTATTTTGCTTTCCTTCTATGTGAACACCATGGAACCTGGAATGTTTAATGTTTTGCTCCTTCCCTACCACCTTACACTTGCTTCATAACAATCCTAAGCTTAATCAAGTATCTTCCTACTTCCAATTCTATCCTTACTTCCAATTCTTTCCCTATCTCTTTCAAACTATCTT